AAGAATGTCTTTTTTCTTTTACAAATAATACATAATTGTAAATTAATTAATCTCAATGGTTTTGACAAAAGAATGTCTTTTTTTCTTTTGCAAAGAAAATATTCTCTTATAGGAGCTCATGGCTGGGTCAACCACTACCGTCAGAACAAAGCTTGTGGTTGATCAAGACAACAAACACAAAGAATTGCAGAATTATATCAGACTGGACATCTTTGTTTTTTGTATTGCCTGTTTCTCTTTGTTATTTCATCAAATCACCATGACTGTTTGTTACCGTGGTGATAGTCTCAGCAGTAGCCATCATGTCGTCGAGGCCTGTGGTTACTATGTAAGACTCTAGACTTTGTATCATAGGATCAACTCCTCCTTGCACACGATCCATCAGTTTAAACATTAGAAGAAGTTCTGGTAAAAGTAGAATGTTCATTTTCAATCCTTATCATAAACTAAATTGAGTTATCATTATCTTTACTCCGACCAAGGATTAACATCTGAAACGTCAGTAACTTATTTAATCTACTTTTTTACGGTGTTAAATTTATCTTTTTACACAACTGTATCATTACAAGAATAAACCTACTGTCAGTTTCATTGTCGGCAATCATTCCAGGGCATTCAGCTAGTATAGTTTCCTTGAAGTCACCAACCAGAACATTGACACAGCACTCAGTTAACTGAAAGATGAAAACAAAAGTCATAAAATAAAATAATAAAACCATAAAATGTACATCATCTTAATACTCAATTGTAATAATTTTGAGAAATACTTTTAATAAATTTACTGGTGGTTTGATTGTGATATTGTACTTACAACAGCAATAGAGTTACATCCTTTTCTTGTCTCAAGATATCTACTTGCTCTTTGCTCTTCCTCTTTAAGCTTAACTTCAGCCTGCRAAAACAAATGAAAACAAATCCATAGTACATCATATATATGAAAATCTTATTGTACAAATTAATTCAAAGAGAAATAATGATATCTTTATATACATGAATCATCAAAAGCTCAACTTTATATCAACATACATATTTCATGTAGCTTTGTACTCCAGTTTGCTGCAAGTACGCAGAAGCTTGCGTCTTGTAGAATTCCCTTGTTGCCTCAACGTAAGCTTTTTCAAAATTTTCCGTGTAAATCTTTAGCTTGTCTGTGATGTCTGAGCTGAGATTCACTGAAAGAGATCATGGACACTTACATGTAAAATTACATGTGTACATTACATTCYCATACCTAAATTCCTACCAGTTTTACAATGGAAAATAGTCTCATAGTGTCATCTTGAAAGGTAGCTGTGCCTTTGCATCGAAGCGAGACGACCGTTGAGCGTTCAATGATAGAAACCTTCTTTCACACTTACAGACAATTATTCACAGGTATCTATCATTACACACTCAATAGTCCTCTCGCTTCGATGTAAAGGCACGGCTACCTTTCAAGATGGCGCAGGAACCATGAAGGAGACTATTGAAGGCTCTGGTAGATGGAGCAATCTAGCCACTATAGGGTAGGAATCTTACCATACGATTCTCTGACACCTATCACCAACTGAGAATCAAAAGCTTCACCATTTCTTTCAGAATACACAAGCTTCATGGCACTAGACTGGAGACGAGTCTTTATACTTGAAAAAATTCCCTCATTCCAAGCATCTAACATTAACTGATRATATAAAATAACATCATTACAATCCAAAACAATACATATATATACWTTGTATCATCACATAAGTGTATGGGCACAGGAAGCCCACACTACTATGACTTATAATATATACCTTTTGTACAGTTATACCATCCGATAAAGGTCTTTTGCTACTGCCACTACCAGTTTTCCCTTGAAGATTGGATTCTAAAGTACTAAAGGGCTTAGGCAGGAAATCACATTGGGTAAAAAACTTTTTCCATTCTGCGTTGTATGCTTTGAGGAGAGAGTGGTCTTCCTCATGTCTCAGAACTCTCTAAAGACACAACGATGGTTTTACAAAAGAGAAGAGATTATTGTGAATGGGTGGAATGAATGAATGAATGAAAATAATAAATAAAGGAAAGAGCTCAACAATCAACTTTAAATGAAAAGAAATGAGCAAACAAAAAAGGAGAAAAGAAATGAATTAATGAATGAATAGACTGATGGATGTGAATGAATGAATGAAAGAAAGAATGGGAAAGAGAAGAAAGGGATATGTAAACTAGCTCTTACCTCTTGTACTTGCTTGATGAAAATTGAAACTTCTTCTTTTAAAGCCTTGTATACTTTTTGTGATCCCTTCTCCACCCAATTACAGACTTTGTGAATTTCCCTACGAAGTATTAACATACAACTTAGTCAACTAGCCTTTTCAATCCTAAAATTTCTGATGCAATTTATTTCTTCTGCCAATGTCATTTCCTTCCATTAAAATATTTCATAATTTTAACAGTAGTTTCTATTAGCTTCAATAAAGTCAGTATTACGTGATGGTAAAACAGACAAAGAAAAATTGTCACAATTGGCGTCAAAACAATTTTTAAATCGACAAAATTCAAATGTTGTTCTTTTTACTTTAGAAAATGTCAGCTCACGAACGTGAAACCTCAATGTTTTGACTCACCAAAATAAACTTTGCCACTCAGCATTCTTAACTGTCTGTTGCTGTAGTAATTTATTCACTGTAGGTCTTATTTCRTGCCATTTYTCTTCAAACTGGATACCAGGATTGCTGGAATTCAAAAGTAAACTACTATTCCCAGACATTTTTTCTTCGCCTGTACAATGCGCCTGCGCACAACAGACACCGGGTTTAAGGACACAGGGTGACCAYAAAGAGAAATAGACGCCTGCCGGTACTCTGCATTCCGATGTACTGAGAGGGGTTGATATTGACCTCTGATATTGGTACCCTGCAGGAAAGTTCACGAACGTAGTTTGTCACTGCCCWAAAGGTATTATCTCTTGGTTTGATACTTTAAAAAGTGTTTATTCATGCTACCAAAAGCTGTTTGTTATTGTCGTGCCGAAGGGGGTCGAGTTGAGTGGATGGTCCGCCGCACTTGGGGTTAAATCAGATCTAATCTTCAAATCTGACCAGATTGATATGATTTCATCATAAAATATGTATGATGAGTTATTAAGTTGCATATTAGTTTAGTGGGAATTGTCTGAAAGAGGGAGTATAAATGGATTTGAAGATTATAGAATGTGTTAAAAACTGTTTGCATTATTTACGCATGATTTGACTACTGCTCTGACGTCATTTAGAGATGCGTTTTATTTATTAGTTGCGCAAATAAGACTGCTAGAATCCTTTATTTTAATAAAGAAAAGATATTCAGTTTGTTTAATTTGCAGGGGATACTTGCAGTCGTGCCGCGGCGGAAGGCGACTCCAGTGTGACTCCAGTACTCTACCACAAATAATGCGCAAACACTCGGTTATCTTCAGATGAATCAGATAATATGATTTCATCACGAAATATTCATTGTAAGCTTTGACAATTCCTTTCAGAGTCTTCCTTTGTTTAAAGACATAAAAGATGCTGACCGAAATTGGGATCCTATTGGTAACATTGCTTCTGGTAATCCTCGCCATTCAATGGGCATCAACACCTCGCGGTCTTCCTCCAGGTCCACCTCGGTTTCCACTCGTCGGTACGCTTCCAAGTTTGATTCTTTACAAATGTGGTTTCATTTTCCAGACCTTGGAGAACCTGGCTAARGCTTATGGYGATGTSTTCACRGTGTATCTTCCAGGACGTGCAACCGTTGTAATCAATTCAGTGCAGCTTGCTCGAGAAGCTTTAGTTAACCAAAAAGACGCGTTTTCAGGCAGACCATACCTTTTCACCACTCACTACCTCTCGCGTGGTGGGAAAGGCCTCGGATTCAGTGACTATGGCCCCGCTTTAGTGCACTGTCGCAAGATTGTTCACTCTGCATTTCGTATGTACAATCCCCATTTAGAAGGAAGGATTCTACAAGAAGCTGATGAACTGACAAAGAGGTTGCAGAACTATAATGCCAAACCATTTGATCCTAAGATGGACATATGCCTTGCTGTTGTTAATGTGCTACATGGAATCCTGTATGGTACAAAGTCCTTTGGATTGAAAGACCAAGAGTTTGTTGACCATGTTGAGTTCAGCAGTGGAGTTGCCCATATGCTAGCACCAATGAACATCTTAAATATCTTCCCGTGGCTCATTAATTTTCCCGTTAAGCCGACGAAAATGTTGAATGAGCTGATATCTAAAAGGGCAAGGATAAGAGATGCGAGATATTATAGAATCAAGGAAACTTTTCAAGAAAACAAGGTATCATTTTCACCTATTGACTTCCCAAATAATCATCATCACCATCATAAACATCCATCATCACTTCCGAGGCCAAAATATGCATCACTACTCCGCCAAAATTAAAATCTAATCAAGTTGCATTTGATATTTAGGAAAAAACTTGCCTGCAGTTAAAAMATTGTTATAGAGCGCGCGTCAGTGTTTATAATGAGACTGTTGTTTATTTAAGTTGTTGCACTATATTGCTTATCATTATTGATGCAGGTGCGTCATCTACTGGACGCTCTTCTCCAGGCCAGACTCGAAGAGGAGAGAGAAGACGCTAAAGCACGCGAAATGGCAGACGATTCTTACATAATGTCCTCCAGTGACGCGCTCTTCCGAGCTGGAAGTGAAACGACTACCTCCGTACTTCATTGGATGGTAGCAAGCATGCTGAACTRTCCTGAGATCCAGGAGAAAATACACGCAGAGCTAGTTGAACAGTTTGGTAACGATSGCAAAGTTGAACTGAACAAGAGAAAAGATTGTCACCTTTTGGAGGCCACTTTGACTGAAGTGAATCGATTCTTCTCCATTGCGCCTGTATTCCCACACAAGACAAAGTGTGATACCACCTTAGATGGTTACAGAATCCCTAAAAATACTACAATCCTGATGAATTATTATGCTATCAACCACGATGACAGAGAATGGAAAGATCCCTTGGTATTCAAACCAGAACGGTTCTTGGATGGTGATGGTCACTTTACCGGAACCCTGAAAAAGAGTTACATGCCTTTTGGAGCGGGGAGAAGAACATGCATTGGAGAATCTGTCGCCAAACAAGAGCTTTTCCTTCTGTCAGCCAGTGTACTTCTGAAGTTCAAGTTTGAAAATCCTCCTGGATGTCCCTTGCCAAATCTAAGCGATGGGGAACTGGGACTGACTTTTCAGTGCAAACCGTTTAAAGTCATCGCTAAGGAACGCTGACCCGAGTTAATTGATATCTAAATATTCACTTGATAATAATAATCAATAATAATAGTGAATTTAGTTTTAGTTTTGTTCTTCAAGTGATTAATTAAAGCACAACTTTTTAGTTTTGTGAAAAACGACATAAAAAGAATGTATTGATCTAAAATGATGAAAAATAAAAAGGCTTTGCACTCGGGATTTTTGAGAATCAAATCGTCTTTGTCAATAGAAATTCTAAACAAAACTAAAGAGAGACCATGGTTCTGGTCGTCAAAGCGCGGAATTGTCGCATGGATTTACATTATGGCTGGAGATCAGTCTCCCTCAGCCGAGATGCAACGCTCGTCACAAGTCTCAATAATGCGTAGAAAAAGTGCGCAAACTAAATTAGGAGGTTCGAGCTTGATATGAGTTCAAAAGCTTCGATAAATCCATGCTAATTGGACATTTCTGTACATCCACAGGAGTCCCATGTCATATAATAGGCACAAGTCTTTTTCGGCATTACAAGGAACGCCTGCTGAAATTTGCGGGATCTTCGCAAAGAAAGGACACACCGACATTTTCCTTTCAAAAGTTTGCCAAATTCTCTGAATTTACTAACGCTTATGATGAGTGATTGCGAAAAAGAAGATGATGGAGCTTTGGATGAGGATATTTTTAAAGGAGATGAAGAAGAAGATTTTAAAAACGACACTTTTGAAGAACTGTATGCAGACTTGGGCGAGAGACAAGAAATGCACTACAACGAAGTAAGCTTATATTTATTGTAAATTTTTACGATTTTGAGAACAAATATTTCAAAAAAGAACCGTTTGATACCAGATGAGATGTCTAGATCACAACAAGTGACAAACAAGTACTGATATGTACGAATCCTCGCTTTAAACCAGACCAGGCTTCTTGCGTAAAATATCCTAAGTCTGGCAAGTTAATAAAATGTTTTCCAGTTATTATTGCTAAGCATTTTATAAAACAGCTGAAATATTGTTTGAATCAACTTGGTAAAAGTCATTTGTTATATTTCAGCTGAAGTCCTTGTATGATGAAAGTCAGAAAAAAGTAAAAGAGCTGTCAAAAGAGGTTAGATTTCCTGAATGAGATCAACTGTCTGTTGGTTAGTCTCCACTGCAGCCATTATTAGGAACCCTGACATTTGCAAGGATCTAAGGAGGCCATACATTTTGGGTTTCCTGTGTTAATTAAGGTGTTCATATTTGAGGTAATTACTACAACTTGAATGAATTTTTTTTAAAGAATCAAGTTCTGAAGGATCAAAATATCATCTTAAAGAAGAACATTTCAAGCTTATACCTGACAGCAAAGGAAGAAATACAGAGAAAGGATGCTCAACTTAAAAATCTACAAGAAAGAGAAACAAAACGAAAGCAGTTGTATGCACAGAADTTTCAAAATAACCAAAGCTAAATACTCCTGTCATGTGTTCTCCCTAGGGGGGTGGAGTGTATTTTCAAAACGTGGTTCCATATATTTACATTACCCCCCTCCCTTCTCACCAGCCCCTCTCTGGTACAGCTTCCAAGACCTTTATCTCAAAAGCTAGCTGTACCATTGGAATTGGTTGAGAGAATAGAATGTTGAGCATATGCAACAAGTTTCAGTTTCATTGCATAGCTCAATGTCAAAGAACAAACACTAGATTTCTATGGAATGTAAATGTTTGGTGTTTTCTAGTTGTATAATCATGAAGATATACAAAAAGAAGTGTACAAAACAGTGTAAAAAAGAAGTGTAAAATACAATTATTTATTGAGATACATGAGTGCATTCTTCTTGCATTTTTATGTACAAACTGTTCTATTTTGCTATAAAATTTGACTATTCTCATTTACTACATTGGGCCTATTTCAAAATTTCATGTCTAATTACATTGTAGAGAGTTTTGGATCCTTTTCCTTATGTTTCCTTTATACAATAAAGTGAAATAGGTAATTAAAAAATTAGTATTTTTTTTTCAATGCCAAAAGCAGTTTCTTTAACCAGGTTTAAATTCCCACATTTGTAAAACTTATAATTAATATAACAATGTCAGGATTACTTTCAAGGAACTGTTGAAGTAACACAATAATTGTGCCTTCAATTTCTTGTACAATTGAAAGAAGCAAATACAATAAAAAAGCAGTAAAATAAATAATTAAATAAAACATTCATCTGTGTATTATTTATGCCAGGAATGCATGGATCATTTGACTTGTATAATGTAGCTCCTTGAGTGTTCTGAAAAAAAAAATATCTTGAGTGAATATATCAAGGCTAAACCAGATCAGTGGGCAGATGAAATATCTTTAGTTTACATATAAAAAATACTGTTTACACATAAGACTTTGAGTTCTTTTTTGTAGAAAAAGGTGCTAAAACACCTACAAGGAGCAGAATATAGTTCAGAATATCTTTAGAGAATTCAGTAAGAATGAATGACTTATACTTACTTGATAATTCCATGCGTGAATGGATCCGGCCCACAAACACATATCAATAAGTCTTTATGATCTGAGGGGGGAGGGGGTAGTACTTCAAGTAACATCTCTGTTGAGATACGTCCTTCATACCCCTCCCATTCTGGGGAAGGCTGTGTTATGGTATAATAAACCTGAAAACTAAAGGAAATGCTTGTTAATAATTACCAATCATTAACTAATTATCAATCAATCATTAATTTATTAATAATAATTTCACTTTTTTTCTAAGAGAATTCCTAGAACTACATACAAACCTTTGGTGGTTCTTTTCTGCCAAGTCATCCAACTGACTTTTCCATAAAATATCTTTTTCTTCACGATTTGCAAACAATAATTTTATATTTCTAGGATCAAATTAGAACATAATTATTAGTACGTATTGTCAATTTACTCTGGATAATAAAACTTACACATTTGACGTTGATTTTTCTATGACTAGTCTTCTTATTAGCCTTATCATTGGTGTAAAGCCTATGGAAGCAATGAGAATGCTCTATTGAGAAATTTGCAAGTGACTCAAACTGCATGTTATATGGCTGATCACTATGAATACTAACCGGTCCCTGCAGCTATCAAGCAAACATCTTTRGCAGAAAGTAATTGCTGTTCTTTGAAGTTCCCACTATGRTCGCTTATAAGAACAGTATCACCTTATGATAGATATCAAAATACACATCCTTTAGCACTTAATTCTCATTAGAATAGCAATCAGAACAGTATCACCTTATGATCAACCTTTAGTGCTTAATTCTCATCAGAATAGCAATCATATTGTCCTACCTGATGTTAGTGTTTCCAGTGTTGGAGTTACTACACCAGCTGGGTAGTTCTTAATCATTAAGTAAAACCGTTTTCCTGCRTACTCYCTCTCARMAGGGTCCACATTGAGTGAWGGCAGGGCTGCRGTATAACTACGAGTTATCTCCATTCCTGACAGATTACACAGAATGGATTTATTATAATACAATCTTGCATTGAATTATTCATAGATCATGACAATGAGGTCATGGACTTAACATATGCAATACAATCAACCAAACAGAAAATACATCAGTCCATCAATCAACCTGAATCAACTAGATCAATTACTCAATGAATAAATGAATAAATCCATTGATCATCAATCAATCAATCAATCAATCAATCAGTCCATCAATCAATCCGTCAGTCCATCAATCAATCCATCAATCAATCCATCAATCATTTGATCGATCGATCGATCAATCAACCAATTGATCAATCAACCTTAATTGATCAATCAACCAATCAATTGATCATCAATCATTAATCAGCCAATGACACAAACCTTGTATGATTCTTTTGACATGCACATGATGTCCAATAGGTATTCTCATCTGTACACCTGACGGCAACTCAAAACAGTACAGCTTAGTGTTGTGTGTGACGTCTTGACTGGATATCAGTGTACACTCCCAAAACCTTGAYTCTAAAAAACAAACAACCACRACATAGCAGACGTTCAGAARAATAACTAACTGGTGAGGTTACATTCATGATAGATTCATGTGAATAATTGCTATTCTCTCTGTGTTCAAATGAG